AGTAGGCCTGATCGATGCTGGGGACTTCAGGGGCTGGAGAACAAATCATAGAAATTAATCAAATAACAATCTATGAATCTTTTAATCTGTTGATTTAGGATTCCAACACTTCAGTCAGTTTCTCAATTTTTTTCTTGGATAATACTCTAAATTATAGTTATATTGTCAATGCATTTAAAAAAAAAAAAAAACTTTCTTCGACAAGTATTGAAAGCATGTAGTTACTAGTTTCAATCAGAGAATAAATGTTATATTACCAAATAAAAGAAAACGTATAAATTACAGAAGGCGCTTATTCAGTTTTCCTTCTCCATTAAATTGTGTGTGAAAGCAAACAGCAAAAATAAAGAAAACTGACTTTAATAAGCTCCCAGACCAAAGTATTCTTCAAATGTCTTAGTTTTCTGTCCAGCTGTCCAAAACTAAATATATTAAAGTCAAAAGGATATAGATAAAATCGTATTAGCTTTAACGAAAAATACACTAAAAAGTCACTTTTATTTTTAATACAATAAGCTAATTTAACCAACTATAAGGTGTTTATACTTGAGGAACAATGAGAATGCAGATTTGCCTGTTTTAAATAAGTTAAGAGTCTGAGGAGAACGCTATAGAAATGTAAGTTTAGTGTGGTCAGGAGCAGCCACATTTCCTTCTATATTCAAAGGAAAGTATCTGAATCTGAGCTTATCACCAGTGGTCTCCTCCGTCTCTGCACTGCTGAGCACGTTGAATGTGTTGTCCATGGCCTCCAGCTGCATGGTGTACACTGTGTTTGGGGACAGGGAGTTGACTGAACCCATCACCGTGTTGCCACTGAACTGAGCGAAGACGGATCGTTCCGGAGAGTTCTTGGGTATTGCTGTGATTTTGTAGGAGCTGGCACCAGTTTGATCGCTCCACTGCACTGTCATACTTTTAGATGTTACCGTGAACACTGACAGGGTGATATCTGAAGGAGATATAGAGAAGGGAAACAATGATGGGAAACACTGAAAGAGAAAAATATTCTAATAAATTGCACATTTGTTCTTTTAGAATGAGTGTGTTTTTATAGAGTTTGACCTCTCAAGGTTGTCCTAATTACAAACAAAACGATTTTAGTTATAATAAGAGTTCCTTATCATCATTAAGTTTGTCAAAAAATATATTTACCATTATCAGCTGCAAAAATCTGAAAAGGACAAAACATGAAACATGAATGAACACAAGACTGACATACGTAACTGTCTGATAGATTACTAGAAATGTAATATTTGAAAGACGGGGACATCATTCCAAAGGTAGCAGGCTAGAGGTATTTCACAATATATCCCGAGGAAAATTATGCCCTGTATCATATTCTGGGAGCATGAGAGGCATGAGGCTGCACATTACCTTCACTCAACACAGATTTCAGGGCTGGTCAGTGCAGGTATTTCTTTCAGGTCTGAATGAATTTGTCTATTGAGCTACGGTTGGGCACGCAACACACACTTGTTGACAGCAGTGACACTCAAAAGAGCCACTGTGTTCCTGTTTAAAAAGTCCTTCCTTCAAAAGTTATCAATAATCTGAGTATGTAAATTATGCACTGGATCAAAGATAGGTTGAACATCGATTTGTTTTATTAAACATTTTATTATTAGTGTTTTTTATTGCAAAAAAAAAAAAAAAAATCAGAACACAATTAGAAAAGGAGCATCTCTTACCTCTGTGAAGGTCAACAAAAGTAAAAGTTTCAGCATCTTTAACTTCAGGATTCCCATTTCTGCTGACTCTTTCCTGCTGCCTGAAGGCAAGATGTGTGATGCTGTTTCTCAAAATGACTTAAGAGAGACAGCTCAAGTTTAGATTAAACTTTTTTTTTTCCCCTGCTAACTCTCACTCTTCCCTCCCCCTTTTTCTCAGATGAAAGGACAGGTCCTGTTTTGTTTCAGCAAATACCGAAGAGCCCAAAGGCGGTAACTCCTCCCCGGGGGATGCCTGGGTGGCCTATTGGAGTGAGAGGAGGAAGCTCTAGTTTGTTGCGTAAAGATATTAGTATTGTGTTGCAAACTTTTCTGGCTTTTTTGTTTTTGGCAGTTTTTACTATTGGGCTTTGTAATTGAACAGTTTGTCAGATTGTTTCTTGTCCTGATGTCTGACATATTTTTTTTACAACATCCAAGTTTAGAAACATTAAGCCTCACAACTTCTATAAAATGCAACGTTTAGGGACGATCCTGAATTGGTCAAAGTTTTCAAAAACAGAAATATAACAACATCCTTTTCACATTAAAGCAGCCATGGCCCTTTAGAATTTGTAAATACAAATATTGTGTGTAAGTCGGTGCTTAATAACGTATAGCACCTGCATCACACAGTGTATAACCTCCACCTGAAGGGTCTCTATGATGGATAAAATGTGATAACTCATCTTCTTCAGAGTCAACTGGGGTCAACATTCACTTTGAAAGAACAAGAAAACCAATTGCAGCAACCAGCGAGCTTATGTAACCACATACATTTGGCTAACTGAAACTTTATACACCGTGCTACACAACAGGTAATTTTACCACACTCTACTGAAGCTACAGTACAGGGTGTGCTATAGTTCCAGTGAAAGTGACATAGGTGGGGTAAGATTGCTGTAATTGCTTTTCTTCCCCTATCTGCGTCAGGTGTATTATGGAGGAGGACTGGGAGGATCCCTAAGGACCAGCTCAATCTCGTGTATAAAGCCATTTTCAAAGAGTAAAAAGAACAACAGTTTCAGATATCCAAAATGTACAGTCAAATTGTTTTGTATGCTGTATAGCTCCAGAAAACTTTAAGATGTGGTAAATGAAACAAATAATCAGAAAATTTAGATACCTTTAGACGGAAATTACAAATAATATTTAACCTTAAATGATGGTTGTGCACAAATTAGACATTTCTGTCTGTAAATATTACTTTAATTCCCAGATGTGCATCAAAGTTTTACAGTATCTTACTTTAGCATAATATCAGCAATAATGCAAGCTAATAAAGGAGGAATAGTTACATTGACAGATTGTTTAAGGATCAGCACTGAACAAGCTGGTTTAGACTGTTCTGGAACAGCACAATGTTTAAGGCAAGATCAGGGACCTCAATCTTTATAGCTACTATAGTCTTATCTGAAACTTCAACATCAGCATGGAAACAGCTAATGGCATCACACAACACATCACTTCAGAGATTCTGTTTTAATTTGGGCATGAACTTACTGAGGAGGAGCACGGCAGAAGAGAAGCATAATGGCCTCTTGACCGGGTCATCTATCAGACCGTCCCCTTTCAGAGCACTTATTGATGACCTGATGGTTACAACAACAACATCTCTACCTAGCTACAGATCGATCCTCCAAAGTCTAGAGTAAATCTTAAAATCAAATCTCTGCCTATATTGACTCTGAGCCAGACAAGTCCAGATCCTTTGTTGTGAACAAGGGGAAAGTCACAAACAACTAGACTATGGCATTGGCTTCTCCCTTTCTGGTGTCCAGCTCCCATTTGTCGTCAAGAAGCTAATCAAGAGCCTCGGAAAAATCTACTGCACCTTGAGGGACACTGCAGTGGTCTGGGCAACCAGCAGTGTTTTACAGGCATGAACTGCTGTGGACAAGTCATGGTTCCCTGGAAAAACGTGTCACTCTCTGCCGACTCTGTGTCTATGAGGTCACTCTGACCACCGTGGTGTGCCGCAAAAGGAAAGAAAGTCACTACCCACAAAGACGGCTGAGTCTGCTTTAAGCGTCATCAGAATCTTTTTTCTCTTTGGAAGCATGATAAACTGAGGCTTCCCTTCAGTAGCTTTACAGATTTTATAATAACTCTGTTTAAGGATTTACCCAGTACCCATTTAGTCATTGTCTCAGGGTGTCTGAGGTCTGGTCATTCAACATCAGATGCTCTTGCCAAAGGCAGCCGCACCCATGGAAAGAAATCTAGATCTTAGGGGGGAGATTACAGCAGTTTTCTTCAAACATTTTCTCTGTATTTCACTATGAGGTACACCCTTCTGTGTTAAAAGCCCAATATCACTAAGCCAGACACATTGGCTGGTAGTCGTGGCAACTGCATCAAGAGGAGTGACATCCTCCATTTGCAGTTTCTTTTTTGGAATTTTTTTTAGATTTAAATGCCCGTTATTGGTTGGACAAGCACAGGTCGGTCCACTCCTTTACGACCAATCATGCACCTCCCTTAATGCAGTGACTTGCTGGTGAGTGCAAAGGGAAAGGAGCTTCAATCGCTACCCAGAGTTGCTAGCGATCTGGGTTTAACCAGTGAGCAACAAATTAAAGCCAAGTTTTGAACACACACACACACACATACACATCTGTCAAGTGCTCATTTTTTTGCATAGTCATTTACAACCGCGTACAATACTTTTTTGGTACAAAGTAAAGTAACTATGTTCTTGTGATTGTTTAAATGTGAAGAGTCTCTGTTCATAGCCTGCAGGATATGGAACAATGAGAACTTCTTCGGTTCTTCAGACAATCACAAGGAACAGTTCAGGAATGTTGTTTAGACACATCTTCTTTCCTGATACCCTCTCAGATACACAACAGAGAAAGTTGATCCCCCACAACAGAAACTGAACACAGCCCGGCACCAGCAGGAGATGGAGCCACAAAGACACCCAAAGGTAGCTCAGTAAGAAGACACTGTGACGCAAGCACCCATGGGCAGACAGGGCTGAGCATTAAGGAGTCTATGGAAAATGTTAGCTTAAAGAAGAAAATCTGATACCAGTAAGGTAGGGAGGGGTTTTCCTGACATGTAATGTTAATAATCTGACCCACTTTTTATTAAGTTTAAATCCATGACCCCAGTGGCTGTTTTTTATATTGAGTTGGAAAACAGGTGAATAAAAAAAAAAGGTTAGATGAGACAAGTGCACTGAGATGAAGCATTGCGAAAAGATATGGAAAATGTTTTATTGGTTTATTGCTGAAGTGAAACTGCACTACCCCCCTCCCCCTTACAAAAGGTCAAGCTGGAATTTTATTGTTTCTCCTTTATAAAATACATGAAGGTATAGGAATCGTTTTGATCTGTACTGATCAAATATTGTTGTGGTCAAAGGACCTCAAATCAAATGTAAACAAAGTCAATAAAAGACTTTCAATCTTTAAAAATATCAATTTGCTTTAAAATGATCACAAAAAAGTCACATACGGTTGTACGGTTGTACATTCTGAGAGTGAGTTCAGACTGTTCTGTGAAGTATAAATATACAAATCTGTAAAAAAAAAAAAGACATGACCTAACACAGGTACTTAAATAACTCCCTCAGCTTAGAAGAAAGGTAGTACTGTATTATCTATAAGCATCAGGTGACATAGGGACTGGCAGATTGATGATTGTAGGGTAAACTGATCTGTAACCTTCTTGTTACAATGCGTGGTGTTTCCTGCCCCCTAGCGGCTGAATATTGTGCAGCTTCCTGTGGAGCTTAGCCTCAGCCAGGTCAGCTGACAGTCTCTTTGCCATCCTGTCCGTGGTCCTCTTCATGCTGCGGGCCACCTCGATAGCCTGGTCTAGAGTCCGACTCATCTCTTCTTCCTAGGAAACAGAAATAACATTTTCAATGAACCAACCATGACAATGTTCTATTTTGGAGAAAGCATTGCACACAAGAAATCACTAGACATCTCACCTTGCTTCCTCCGCACCTGCTTTTCCTGCTGCCAGCCTTTGAGGGCGCTGATGCTGGGGTCTGTGTCCTCTGGAAGTACACATTGCTGGGCAGGAGTGCCGTGTCTGACTGGGTGGAGCGCTTTCTGTGTCGGGACGTGGACTGCATCAGTGGCTCCCTCACTTTATAGCTGGATTTTTTTTTTTGTTCAAATAGTGAGGAGGGATGATTCCACTTTAACAGAACTATACAATCAGTATTCGACAACTTCCTGTGATGTGATGGATTTACTTTCTTGTGAGACCTATGATTACCTTGCAGGCAGGCTGCTGGAGGAGCCATAGCTTACTTGTAGGAGGGGCTTCTGAAGAGATGGAGAAGAGAAAAGAGGCCTCCTCTCCTTGACAAAAAACCCGTCTATGACTGCTGCTGGAACATGGAAACATGAACATGAATAACACACAACACTTAAAAAATAGATATCCATGGTTTTTGTTTGTACAACTAAGGACTTTTATGAGAAGACACTGTTGATTTGTGACAAAGATGAAGCTGTCTTGTATATACAGTAGGCCTATTCTATATCCAAATTTCCTATGATGGAAAAATTAAGTTACCACTGTTGACATTTTATTATTCACTTGCATGATAAACATTAGATTTTCAAATGACTTACTTTGTGTCCTTTTCATGGCTTGGCTATAAGAAGTCTCTTCTTTCCCTCCCTTTAAGATAGAGCTGGTCGGAACAGAGTTTTTAACTGAGCTGTTTCTCTCTGACCGAGGACCATAAGACACATGTGACACATCTTTGAGTACAACACATCCCATATTAATTAAACTATTGAATAAAGTCAGTACTAAGAAACAACAGCTCAGACCTTGGTTGGATTGCAGTTTATTGGTAAACTCAGGTGAACAGCTCCCGCTGCCCGTCCCTCTCCTGCTCCCTATGGGTGTACTTTGGAACTGCAACATGTTATCAGAACCAGCTGTGTCACCACTGTCTGTGCCTATGGAGCAAATCATCCAAACGATTTTAAGAATAATGGAAATACACAAACATACATTTATAAATGTGGAGGCACACTTTAAAAAATGCAGGGTTTTGCTGCTATTTTCTTTTTTTGGTGGTGGATTACCTTTGCTCCTGCTGGGGTCCATGTCTGAAGATATCCAGTCCTCCTTCTTCACCTGACTGGAACTAACATCGCTCAAAGGCTGTCTGCTACTTAATGGCTTCCACAAACTAGAAGTAAGAATATAAAGGGTCATTATGGACCAAATTCGAAATCAACACACTCCAACAAAGACCATTATCCGTCAGTTTTCCCATAATACCCGCTAGTAGCATGATCACCTGTTGCATGCTAGTCTGTGCTGGTTTCGGAGTCTGGTTTTAGACCTGCGCTCCTGACGATCCTCTCTGTATCTTGAGGTGAGATAGTCCATCTTCTGTGCTAGGTGAGGCAGCTGGTCCAGGCCCTCCTCAAGGTCCTTCTTCAGCCTGTATACCTCTGACTGCAAAGCTACGATAACCTCGCTATACCCACACACAGATACAGATATTGACTCGGTGATAGGGCAACATCAAAAGATAATGAGTAAATCTTTATAACACTGGCTCTCCCGAGCATAAACCGACCTATTACAAGAGCATGAGTTAAGTGGACTGCCTCTGTCATCTGTGTCCATGGTGGCACTGAGTTTGGGTTCAGGAATGTGGTAATGGAGCTGAGCAGGCGGGCTGCCTTCAGATCCTGTTCAGTGGAAGAGAAGCATTCATTAAATCAGTATTTACCTGTAAATACCAAATAATCATACAACTTTTATGTTGGATTTTCAGCAGAACAAACATTCCTACAATAAGTGAACTTGTAATTTGTTGAACCGCTATGGGAGACTGCAACTCTAATACATCTTAAAATACAAAGGTGCAATAAATCTAAAGTAAATGATAAATATTGAAAATTCCAGTAAACAAAATCATGAATAGAAAATGTAATAGGAAAAGCAAAAAAATAAAAAATAATTAACCAAACCCCCAACAATCAAACATAAACATTACAAACAATTCATTACAATTGTCAACAGTTGAAATAATCTGTGCACATATCAGGCCTATTCCTGGGAATATCATGCACTCGTCTATCATGTCACTAGTCATAGTCATCATAGTCCTTTTACACAAGAAAACAAAGGGGTTTCATGGAATTTGCTCACAAACACTGAAATGAGGTTGTTTAAATAATTTATAATTTTTTGCGTTGCAGAACAAGAATTTAGCATTAGGATGGATTCACTCACCTTGCAAACGGACCAAAGGCTCCTTAGTGGTACTCTGCACCCACCTCTCCACTGCTGCTGTTCCACCACAGGACTGTGTTTCAACAGATTGATTGGGGCTTACCCACAACTGACTGGGGAGGCTGGCTGAATGGATTGCCGTCTGCAGGTTGGAGCAGGAGTCCTCAGTGTCTGTGCTGCTTAAACCATCATTCTGGGACGGCACACTGAAGATAGGAGGGTCAAACATGAGTTGATGTGGAGAAAGTGACGGTGGGTCTGTTTGTGTTTACTGACAGAAATCTGCTCTTGCTCATTTATAAACGTTTGTACCGTTCTGTGAGCTGATTCGATTCAAATGATCCAGAAGCCGAGTTATTCAGGTAAGAACTTCCAAATCCGCTGTCAGTCTCTGGGCTCACAATCCTCTGCATCGAAAAAAACAACAAAGAAAAACAATACAAAAAAAACCCATAAAAAGCAGTATTTGCATTCTACTCACAACTTCAGAAATGAACCCTGAAATGTGATGGATAAAAACCAGTAAATTATAGAGTATGTATAAAAAAAACCTGCAGAGTCGGTCAATACCACAGAGGTAAATGTGCAGAGATAATCAAACTAGCCAATCATTAATTGGGACCGACCTGTGCTGAAGAAGATGTTTGGAGAGGAGGCTCTGAGAGGTTGTGGTTTTCTGAGTCTCTGGGTGCATCAGACAAACAGGAGAGCTCCACAGCGAGACTCACACAGTCTCCCTGATCACACTCACCCACTGCGTGCAGGACACTAACCAGGGTGCTATGACTGCAGCGACAAGAACAAGTGACATATTTAACATCTGTAGAGTAGGCTGACAATACAGACACTCTGCAGAAGTAGCTCACCTACACTGTCACGAGATTACAAGATGGATTACAAGCATGAGCCATGCATTATTTAAGAGTAAACAGTATAGAGGAACCAAAAAAAGAGAGTCACTGGAGACATGGTTAGCTGTAGTCTTTGAACATCAACAACACTGACCTGTCGGCTGTCCTCTGTATCTGTCCTGAGAATGATGAGCTGCTTCCATCTAAGTATGCTAAGATGTTACTGTGGTCGATCTCATCTGAAAAGACAGAGTTCCTCTCCTCCTCCTCTGTCTCCGCTGTGTGAATTTCCAGTCCCTCCACAGAGCCCTGCGAGCTTCTGAAACAGGACAGAGAAGAGAACCTGAACGCGCCAACTCAAACACTTGATGGAACTGAACACCGTCACTGCAGCTGAAACATTATCTGCCCATGGGAGAGCTGAGAACATGGCTATTATTTTAGCACAAACACACACGCGCCATCGATCAAAACACTCAACGTGCAGAACAATGGCGTAAATAATTATGCATCCAGGAGAACTTTTTATTTCTGTACATATGAGCACTGCTTACTTGTGTGACTACATTTTTCACAGGAAGTACAAAGGTGTGTCATTCAGCAGACCAGTTGAAAACCCCACATTTTAAAACTTAAAATATTCATAATTTACAAGCAGAATATAATATAGAAATATGAAACTAAGAGCTGGACTAAATACATCACTTAACAATGAACAAAGTATTCTAATTAAATCTTAAAATGATCTAAGCAAGTACCTTGAATGGCAGCTGCTGTGGCCGCTGTTTCTCATTAAAGAGTTCGTTGTTAGAACTTCGTGACTTTCCTGTAATTGAACATTTCCATAGACCCTGCTGTCCTTCTTTACTTTCTCCATATTTTCTTCTTCTTTCTCCATATGAAATCCAGCAGTGGAAAAACCTGAGCATGGTCCCTGAAATGAGAAACCCAAACAGATAAATTGCAGTTGGGGTTGTCTTTCACGCACAAAAACACTCAACGTTTCCTCCTTGAGATGATTCGTCTTAAAAGAAGAGACATGGTGAACATGCTGCAAGGGGGAGCTGCCTGCAATATGTCAGAGGCTTCAAATTCAACAGTGTAAGAAAAACTTGGTGTTTTCATAATGTCAAGATGGATCATTTTAGTTTACTCATGCATTATTAAGTATCATATTTACCAATTCCAAGCCTATTATGTCAAGAATTGACAGAACAGTTAACCTTCTGGTCGTGCTAAAGAAAAGTCAGAGGACCATTAAACTCCTTAATATTTATGTCAAGGAAAGCATGAGCCTCTGTATAAACATTGATTCCAGCAGATAAAGAAGAAATGGAAAACCTTAACTCTTTGTGGCTCTATATAAAAATCCTGTTTCAAATGAATGATGTCATCACAACATGAGAGATGCTATTTCACAGATGAACAAATAGCTGACACATTGCCGAACGTTGTAAAGATGAGTAAGTGCGAGTGAGGGTGATAGGTGTGTCAGAGGGTTGATTACCTCATGCAGGGATGGTGGGGGTGAAGGTGTAAGTATGCAGAGAGGATTCAGCATCACATGCTGTGTCTGTCTCATGGGTGTGGGAGTGGAGGATGAGTGAGGTGGAGATATCTGTTCATACACGTTTTTGTCTATCAACTCCTTTATGTCCTCAAGGTGCATCCCTATCCTGAATATGTCTCCCTCCACCAGCCTGCACACAATTTAACACACACACACACACACACACACACACGTTAATATGCAAAGAAGTGGACGCATTATGATGATGCTTGCACTTTCGCTTGGTTGCAACAGCAGACTCTTTTTCACCTGTTTGGGTCAAATGTGCCAGTGTTCCTGCACAGGCCCATGTAGTTTTGCATCTCCAGAGCTCTGTGCTCCTCTTTCTTGCTGATGTATTTTCTCTCCAGCTGGTCCTGAGCCTCCATAAGCCCCCTCAGCATCTGACCAGGGACACATTTTTACAGTAATTGTATGCACAATGTAAAACTAAAATGTAGAATTGCATTGGTCCTCAAAAAAAAAAGAATCTTCAAGTTATAAAATGCATATATATGACGTTCTTTAACACCTAAAGAACTACATATAGGAAGTGAACAACACTTACCATGTGCTGCTCTGCTGGGCTCACTGACATGTTGCTTACACTAATTTTGAGTTCTTCCACCTGAATAGAAGAAAAACTGGTTTAGATATTTGTTCACAGGTAAACTCCTGGCACAACTTTTAACTCAAGAAGCAGAGGAGGGTCTTCTGGCACAACTTCACCAACTACCCAGGTGCATGGAGAGTGAAAGGCTTGATGTCAAAAAGCAACAGCAACACTTAAGGTACAAAGATCAACTTTATTTACTTTATTCTATTCATCTATTAAAGCTCAAACTTTTAACTTACTCTCTGCATGAACTGGCTGATGATGTCTCTCAGCTCTGTTGTCATTATTTCTCCATAACTTGGACCTTCTTCAGGCTGGTTTGAGGAATCTGTGTTCATCTCCTTGATTTTATTTTGGGAGTTTGTTTCTCTTTTTTCACCTGAAAAAAAAAAAGATTTGAGTGAAATAGACTTGAAAGAGGCCGGTGAGAAACATCTCATTGATATTGATACTGGTTTCTGAACATCCACATCCAAAATACCCAAATTCTTAAACTCTTAAGCCAAGAATTTGAATTAAAACACACATGATACCAACAGTTGCTGACAATTGATTTAATACAATACAATGTCACTTCATTAAAGTGCTCCAAAAGCAAAAATGTGTTTGTGTAACCACAAGTATGTCATCTGACCCGGTTTGTCACCATGGAAACCGGGTGCACTTGCGTTAATTGCAGGTAGTGAAGCAAAGCGTCAACATGTCATAATATCAGATGTCAGAGACTTACCTGATGTGGGAAGGACAGGAGCCAATGATCCAATATGGATTCCCTTAACTAAAGGTATATTTTCTAGATGATCATCCTCACACTCAAAATGAAGCATGAGCTCTGAGGAGGACTGAGCCTTGAAAAGAGAGACATAATTAATCATGTACATTAAACTATGACTGCAATTTTAATGATTTTCACACTCCCACAGTAATTAGATATCAGTCAAAAAAATACTTAATTGTTTACTTACATTAGTTCCAACTCTCATTTGATCTATAAGGTTCTCGGCCTCAGCATATTTGGTTAGTAATTTATCATATTCAGCCTAAAGACATGTGGAGACAAATGTCAGTGCAATGTAAAGCATTCACACTGCTACTTTCTGCACTCTGAAAATGTTCTACCTGCAGGTGATGCACCAGTGCAGGAGTCTGTTTGTCCTCATCTTTGAACACATAGGGCTTCTCTGACAGCTGGACTGAGTCCTCCAGGACTCTGCTGATCACTTCTAACATCTCTGGAGAGGACTGGGCTCTGTGCATGGTGCTGGGGCTCTGGGGAAGGGGTTGGGGTTGGGCTGGTCCACTTGGAGCTTTGGGGATTTTAACCTTCGGGGCAACCTTGGAGAAGTCCGGTAGTGGATAATGGACTTGGCCTTGTCCATATTTCATCTCAGTGAAGGACCTGGTGCGCACAAGTGGGACTTGTCCCACCTGATCATTTTCTTGGGACTTTTCCTGTTTTGCTAGATCTACAGCACTTGTGTCCTGTTTTGAGTCTGGACTTTGAGAGTTGGATGCAATACAGTTAGAAGCAGAAGCATTTACCTTTTCAGGTCTCTCTTCGGGCTCCTCCACTAAACTTGATTTTACATCATGACTCTTTTCATTAGATCTTTCTGCACAGGAACTCTGAATAATCTCAGAATTACAAGCAAAGCTCTCTGAATTGTTACTGTTATTTGTTGTGCTTTTGTTTACTGGAGCCCAGCTCAAAACTGTGCCATCCATGCTCTCTAGCAGGGACACCTCAGGCAGAGTCTCTGCCTCAATCAGCCTGCCAGGCCTCAGCAGTTCTTCCTGGGAGAAATGTCGCAACAACACCTGGTTAATGTCTGCAGGGCATGATGGGGCAAACTCCTTTGGCTTTAAAGCATTAAAAACATGATCCTGTTTAGTGTTGGCATCCTCTTGCAACAGAGCTGCAGGTTTCTCAGCATTGTGCTCAACAGAAAACAAGTGTTTAACTAAATCATCTCTCTCTATTTGATTACATTCAAGCAAATCTAAAGCATCTGGACTTGCATGGACAGTAGCTCTTCCATCTGAGCTTCTTTCTCCCTCAGAGATAGAAGTCTTGTTGAAGTAGGTGCTTCCAAGGTCACCATCGAAAGGATCATAAGGTAGGTCGTCCTGATCCTCGTCGCTTGTATCCTGCCCTGCGTCCTGATTTAATGGGGGCTCACCTTGCATGGTGTTTGGTCTTTCAGCAGACACATGCAATTTGCTGCTCTTGATCTTGCTCTTTACCAGTCTTTCACTCTGACTGCTGACAGTGCTGGACTCTGAGGAAGTGACATCTAAAGCTGACAGCTCAGCACTTCCTGAAAATGACATAATGTATAATTACAAAATATGAGAGTTCTATTGATTCATTGCATAATACTTTTAATGACACTGGCATCTTATCACTTTGACTACTCGTCACTTTGGTTTAATCACATTTCTTGTCACCCAAAAGATTAAAAAAAAAAAAAAGATTTTCCAATAACCAAAAATAGACTCCAGGACTTACCACTGAGATGGATGCTGGCCTCAGAGGCTGCAGACTCTGCTTGGGACAGATGTATGGCAAAAGAATTCTCCAGGTCACTCAGGTGAAGACTTTCATCCTCACTAAGGTCAACAAAGATACTCTGCTGAATACACTTCTCCCACAGCACAGTTGGCCTGTCCTTAACATCCTCATCTGCCTCGTCTGGTTCTCCCTCCATGAATACTTTGTCTGCAAAGTGACAACCTCTCCTCACCTGTGTTAAGAAAGGGAGCACCTGTTCATCACTTAGCAACGCAACCTGTGAGCTGACAACACTGGATCAAAATGTGTTAAGCTGTCAATTATTTAACAATCAGAGCATTGTGTGCTCACAGGTTGGCGTGACAAAAGTGTTACATTTTTTTTATGGTCGAAAGAATTTATGTGTACTTGTGTGTGAGAGAGATAGAGACATTGATGGAGTACATATACTAATAAGTACTTGAGCATCAAATTATAGTGTATATTCAACAATATCTAAATAATCATTTAAAACTTTAAGTCCTGCTTTTTTCATTAAAAGAGAAGGTATAGTGTTTTAGCATTTGTCAAAGGCAAATGACTTATGGCAATTATTGCTGACATATTGGATGTTTTTATTACACAATCTTTAACATGCTACACAATTTAGATGCTGTATCTACTAAAGGAATTGATTAATATTGTTGTAAAGGTTTTTTATAACAAAACAAACAGAGTGTCTAGGTGTACCTGCCATGCTATTGTAGCGTACTACACATTTGCCTCTGAACCGCACTGGGATTTTGATTTTAAGAAGCAGAAATACTCAAATGAAGAAGTTGCTGTCTCAAAATAACAAATTAAATATGTTGATTTTGATTCTTTTGATTACTCCATGCATAAATAATATGACCCCTCCAAAAAAAATGTAAACATAACCATTATTTGAAAAAAAGTGCAGCACCAGCATACAAAAAGAGTACAAGTAGGCATACAAATAAACCACACTGACCTGTCTTGCAAACTAATAAACAAAACAACCATCCATATCTGTAATTATAGCTGTACCAACAATTTTATTTTTTTGACCACATGTTTCCTTTATCAAAGGTTTTCTTCGTTATTGTTAAATAAATTAAATAAAAAACAAAGTGACTAATTCGCATCCACTCCTAAAATACTTTGTAATGTAAGAGAAGGGGACATGTCTGTGTATTATACACAGACAATACACTCCATAGTGAGACTTCTTTGTAATTGAGTAGTTTTTTTGTAATTTTGCTAGTTTTAGTATAAAACTACCTGTTGACCTAGTTTTAACTTGCACTACAATTGCAGTCTCACATGATGTTATAGTAGTTTTGTTGGTGGAAACTTACTTGGATGTTTCACGGTTTCTTCGGCGCAGTAACATCAAGTAGATCCGATCCACAACCATGGTCTCGCTCTTGACATCATCTTGTTACCGGCTAAAGTATTTCTGTGTCTTTCTTTCTTGACATATGGTTTCTCGGCCAGGTTTAGTTTCTCTGCCATCATTAATAATGTAGCCTTCACGGAGCGTCTAGAGCCGGACTAGCAGCTGTACAGGCAGGGAATGGTTGCTTGGTAACGGTGGTGAGGCCTCTACCAAAAAATACTACTGATGCAGAAATGTGTTTACGTTAGCAATTTTAAAAGGATGATAGACCACAGTACCTCGCATTTTAATGATTTTATTTCGTGTATTTTTACATTTTTACACAGCGGCTCTCATTATTATTATTTTTTTTGTTGATACTCTGCGATTAAATGGTGGAAAAGTTTCATTCACTGCCCATCAGGTCCTGTCGTACGCACGTCATCTCTTTTCTATTCAAATCTGGTGGTCCAATGACTGTTATTCTGGGCGTGGCTATTTTTGAATGTCCTCCTCTGATTGGCTAGTTGGCGAAAAACACAATACGCTTTGAGAAGCCACAAGGGAATTTCGTCTACCTCACAGAAGTTATAAAAAGTTTAACAATAGCGAAAGGATAATGAAGTTTAAGATGTAGTACAGTTCGTCACGCAATTAAACACATTTTTCGAAACGGAGCTATGTTTTTATTCTTGTGAGAATTTTTTTTTAAAAAAAGAAGAGGACAAGTCACCATTGTTCGAACTGGATCGTCCAACGTAAGTTTAGAAGCTAACACGCTAGCTTGCTAATAATTTTCTGGATGTGATTATTTGAGCTAAAACGTGAATACACTGCCCCAGGTTGTGTTTCCTCCGGCTGGAGTAAAGACTTCTTACCGTAGTGCCATTCATGAAAGTGTGGTGTTTACAATCCTGTCATTCAGGTCCCTCATGTTAGAGTAAATTTAAAGTGAATGGGGATCAGCCTGACGAGTACAGATGAATCATACTGTTAGTAATACCCAGAAGAATTATTACTATCAAATTAAGAACGGGTTGTTTACATAAAGCTAAAATGTTCGTAAGAATCACTGACATAATGTTTGTTGTAGCGTTTTAACCCTTACTATGTGAACAAAGTACTTGCACAGATTTCATTTCAGATACTTGCACTAACTTTAATGTGCATGCCAGATTATTAGTAATGCATCGTCATATGTAGAGCATTGTACCTCTTTACTCTCAGATCACTCAAACCTTTAATGTGTGGCATATGTTTACTGTGTAGTGTATACGAGGTGTGCTTATGAAAAATGTCTTTATTCAAAGTTATTCTTTTTGTTTTAGGTTGTTTTAAAACATAGCTTTGTCTTCCTTTTCTGAATGTTGGGAGAACTTGGTTTGATGTGTACATCATTATTTGGGTACTTTTACCCAATTAACTGGCAACTGAGTGTATATCCACTTTAGTTCTATATCTCTTAAGTTAACTTTATGTAATGTCATCTCAAATCTATGTCACAGTCTTCATTTGTGTTCTGAGGGAAAATACACAAATGCTCATATTTAAATGTCAGTAAGTCCTGGTCACTTTTCTTTGCAGACTCTCAAGATATCCTGTCCCTGTCAGGAAGAGTTACCGGTCAGTATTCTAGTACTCAGTAGTTGTTTCTTTGTTTTGTTTTGGAGCAGGCTTTTCCTGGCTCATGGTGTAATGCTTAAATGTGTTTCCATATTTAGATTTTGCTCTCAGTAGTAGTTGTAACAGGGCTTCAATGGGCTCTAAGTACAAAGAAAACAAATCAAATCTTCTTTGTGTTTAAGATGAAATCATGTCCTGTTTAAACTCAAAGAGTCATTGATGGCCTGTCATTAAGAAACAACCTCTCGTTTCCTATGATGCACCTTTTAGTCATGAATCATTTGTCCTGCTAAACGCTTGTTCATGCCCACAGTAGGTTTGTGAGCAGTGTAAGTCTCTCTTTAACACACCCAGTTGGCATGCAGAGGTGGAAAAGGCTTCGCCAAAAGTGGCACAAATCGGTGATTATATAATAATCTGTAGAAACATGCACCGCACAGACTCCAAAAGCCCTGGGCTTAAGTTTGTGTTGAAGGTTGTTCACATTCACATAGCAGCAGGAAGAACAGACGAGAAGATTTCAACATACCCATACCAGGTTTATTTCATAACGCCTGACGAAGCACAAGTACTCAACAGTTATGGACAGTGAATTTCCAAAAGCTTTATTTATTTATTTTATGCATGGGTTACTTTTAGATACACACTTTTGAACTCTTAAATACCAGAAGACAGAAAACTCTTGTATTTAAACCACTTTTTTTTTTTTTTTTTTTTTACAAAAACACAAACAGGTCCTCATAATTGCATTTTTTTAAGAGGCCTTAAAACTATCCGTTATCCCCTTAATGCGAGGTATTAGATTTCTAAAGGTTGATTGTTTTCATGGAAGAATCTTTCCAGTTTTAGTCGTTGTTCAACAATTATTATTATTTGTCTGTGCTGCATGTTGAAGACCAGTTTTTCTCTGCAACATCTAGATTTAGAAAAGTGTACGATCCTTTTTTAAAAGTCAGTACCATGTATCAAAGAAAGCTTTACACGCTCACAGACACACTAGACTTTATGTCACATCTTGTTGTTATCCCATAATACTTCCATATATAGTTCACAAAGTTTAAATTGGTTTTAAATTTATAAGTGCGCCCCATTTAACATTTGATGTGTGTGTTGGGAGGGATTGCTGAGTTCAACTTGGGGGACTAATGGGTGTGGTTTGTATGACCTCATGGAGAAATGAGCTAATGGTTGGCTCTGGTCTTTATTTCTTGCAGTTTATCTTATCCATATTCTTCTAAGCAAGCATCCTTCTTGCTCGCTTATCACTCTCCTTTCCTCTGGTGGAAGTAACAAGCACACAGTTGTTTTGCTATTTTCCAAAGCCAACTCTTAATTTGGTGATCTTGGCAACATATGCAACAGGTTGCTGCTGGTTGCTCTTCCTCCGGACATCATGCTTTTTCTGCCATCTCTGCTTGCATAGGTTACATTCTGTTGCGTCATAGCTTGCTCAGCTTGGAGCCGCTTTAATGCACACACTTTTTCTGAGAATGAACCGAGTCTTCATCTTAGAGTGACAGCATGTCTGTGTTGACCCCATCAATTCCTACTCTATCTGCCGGTCCCGTCTGCCCCACTTGTGTGCGCGTTGCTGTTTGGTTGGTGTTGCCACGGCAGCACCTGGCCAGAATGAGGCTTCACATACAGCATCTTGTGTTCTCTTCACAGAGGGCAGCTGACGAGAGTGAGGGGCAGTGACGCAAAACACACAGTATACGAAAGCAGCGGTGCGGGCTGACGCTCAGGACTCTGCAGCTCTGTCTTACACTTAACGGGGTTACCTTCCCTTGTCAGCATTTTGCAGAGGGACACAGTGGTTAGCCTCCTCTTGACCCAAGGTTTTTTCTTTCTTTCTATTGGCTCTTGTTTTATAAACGCAGCCATTTTTTCGGGCACCAGACTGGGATTTTCCCTCATATTATGCACAACAATGGATACAAGTGGCTCAGTGGTTAGCACAGGAGCTGAGGAGCAGTCCTTTCATGTCCGCTACAGGTAGGCATTTCTCCTCTCAACTTAAACTGTGTTGTCTCTTAGTTTCTTGTTTTTCTTGCTAGTTCTAGAAGCAATATGAGTGAATTATTTTTATAAACAGCAAAAAAAACATGTTACATTTATAATTGTTCCAATGCTTCTCATATAAAATTTGTCAACCTAGGTTTGACTAACTTGGTGTTACTTTGTTAATGAAGTGATTAATTAATATAGCATTGGAAATTGAAGCCAAAGAGTATTTGAGTGATAAGCCCTTTACAAAAGGCTTATTGTGAGTTTGTTGACTAAAGGCAGGTGAGTTCCCTCCTCCAAAAAGGGCATCTGCCAGCTGCCCCTACATACCCAGGTAAAAAGCTCTGGGAACAGGTGTGACCTGTCAAACTTAGAAAGACCAGCTCCAGGAGGCTTCAATATTTAACTAGGCCTGAAAAATTCATCACTGCTGCCCTTGTTTTTTCTCCACACGTGTCCAATTTATTTAGATAGAGTTTGTTTCTGCTTTAGGATGTCTGTTTTTAATCATGAATACTTCTGTTCTGGATGTTTATCATCAATGATTTGATTCCATTAGACCTCACCCCCTCACCTTAGCAGTCTGCTTCTGTCCGACACGTCTAATAAAGCTTCTTAGCACTCGATTACACTGTAATCCGCTGGTTGCACATTCTTCAACCGTAATCTCAGGTGACCAGGTCAGACGAGAGAGCTCGAAAAAAGCGGATTAGGATGGAAATTGCTGATGGAGCAGTTTCCACGCTTGCATGAATGGGAGAGTTTAATTCTGTGATCACACCACTTGTGTCATCTTGAATGTTCGCCAACTGGCGATATGACGTCAGAAGAGGAATTGATTTCATATTAGAAGGAATGCTGGTTTTTGTAACCTGTTAGATGCCTCTCAGATGTTCCATGTGCTGTTGTTGTTTTGAGACGCCAAAAGCCAGCAGGTAGGCTACTATTTGCTGCAGCTACTTTTCCTTTAGACAAGTAAACAAGGAGTAATCGTACCTAATTTAAGAGTGATGATGACATGAGTTTTATCACTTATTCAGAACTCCAAACCTTTGTTTACAAGTCATAGCCTTGCCAGGGGTGAAACAGGCGCCTTCTGTTTGTTTTTGACAGTTTGTAGCACACTTTAGACTTTTATAAACCTTTTTTTTTCCTCATGTGAGGATTGCAGACTAAATTGCTACTTTATGTCAGTGTTTATGAGTCTTTTTTTTTTTTTTTAGAGCTTTCAGACAAACTTTGGGAGCTAAATCTTGTGGTAAACAAACTGAATGGACTTTGTGTGAAGCTGGTCTCGCCCCAACAGTACAGTTTCCGGTGAAACAGAAGTTGGCAGACTAACAAGTAAACAGAGGTGCACAGTACAAACATGTGGCCTAATCTGAAGATAATCCATCTGCAGATAAACCACCGCCCATTGTTTGAGACTCTTTTCATCTGGCCTTGACACGTCTGAGACAAACTATCTTGTGACTCTACAGGGCTTGGTTCTTAACTTCCATTTCTTAATACATAGATTGTTTCTATATCTAAAAGATTTTTAACAAAAAGTCACATCTCAATCTTTGGAGCATCTGTGCGCATATAAACTAAATTGAGTGGTCCCTACTGCAACAGAAAACTATTATTAGGATACAGGAATGTTTTTTAGGGTATATCTTATTTCTAATCAAGGTTAATAAACTTTGGTATACCTTGACATTTCTAACCAGTCTTTCTTTTATGTCCACTGTACTGTGAAAGAAACCCACTTTCTCGTCTGAGGCATGTCTAAAGGATGTGACCATAACAAACAAACCCCAGTTTGAGCCATTGTTCTCTGTGGGCGAAAGGAAGTAACTAAACAACATTCCCTGTATAAAGCTTTTTCACTTGGAGGATATGGATTTAGTTCTCGGGTTGTGAGTGGAGTCGCTCAGTCGGCTGCAGCTTTCAGCCAGAAAAGATCTACTACCACAGCGTCTTTATTGTTGGTCTTTAGTTATTATGTTTGGTAGCTATTAAATAGTTTGGTGCTGCTCAGTAAGCTTTTTTTTTTTAGTTCAAACAGCAGCTTGTTAGTAGAGGCTGATTATTTTCTGTCTGCTGTAGGATGGAGGTGTCCTGCCTGGAACTGGCGTTGGAGGGTGAGCGGCTCTGTAAGGTGGGCGACTACAGGGCAGGGGTCTCCTTCTTTGAGGCTGCCATCCAGGTGGGCACGGAGGACCTGCAGGTGCTCAGTGCCATCTACAGCCAGCTTGGGAATGCCTACTTCCATTTGCACGACTACGCCAAGGCCCTGGAGTTCCACCGGCACGACCTCACACTCACCAGGTCAGACCTGCAAGAGAGCCCCACCGAACCATGCTGACAGATCATTATTGTATTCATAATAATTAACACATCATGCTTTGTTTAGGACAATTAATGACCTGCCTGGAGAGGCCAAAGCAAGTGGAAACCTTGGCAACACGTTGAAGGTGCTGGGGCGGTTTGACGAGGCTGTGGTTTGCTGTCAGAGACACTTGGACATAGCAAGAGACATCAATGACAAGGTGAGGCAGCAGAATGTAAAAGCACATCAATGCATTCAGTGAAGTGTTCTGTTTCTGGGGGCATCATCACCTTCAGCACTGATGTTTTTCTCCTGGATTTGTGTCAGGTGGGTCAGGCGCGAGCTCTTTATAACTTTGGAAACGTGTACCATGCTAAAGGAAAAAGTATTTGTTGGAGTGGAGCCGAGCCCGGAGATTTCCCAGAGGAGGTCATGACAGCACTGAGGAAGGCGGCAGATTACTACGAGTGAGTGATTGTACAGTGTTCTGCTGTGTTACATTGGAAGGATTCTTTTCTTCTGTTATCCACTCAATATACAGTAACATGTGACTGTACACATTTGTGTTTTCAGGGCAAACTTGGCGATAGTAAAGGAGCTCGGGGATAGAGCTGCACAGGGTCGAACATATGGCAACCTCGGCAACACACACTACTTGTTGGGGAACTTTGGTAAAGCTGTAGCTTCTCACGATCAGGTGTGGTATAGAAGGCGTATTTCCAAAGTGTAGACATTGTCTTCTTTTATTCTATCAGATGTGATCATATATGTTTCTTTATCTCTGTTTTTGTGCAGCGCTTGCTCATAGCTAAGGAGTTTGGCGACCGCTCGGCAGAGAGACGGGCTTACTGCAACCTAGGGAACGCCTACATCTTTTTGGGGGATTTTGAAGTGGCAGCTGAGCATTATAAGTAAGCTACAGCCCACACTTTCATTTCCCAAAAGTATCTCCTGTGGCATCAATGAATCCAGGGGCTAACACTGCAGCCTATCTTTGAAATGTTTGTTTGTTTTTTCAGGAGGACTCTGCAGCTGGCGAGGCAGCTAAAGGACCGAGCTGTGGAGGCTCAGGCCTGCTACAGTCTAGGTAACACCTACACACTGCTCCAGGATTATGAACGAGCCATAGACTACCACCTGAAACACCTCATCATAGCTCAGGACCTCAATGACAGGTACGCACTCATTCAAGATTGGATCAGTAATTCATGCACATGTTTCAGACGTTTTAATTATTTCCTTCCTCTGTTTATGATGCAGGATCGGAGAGGGCCGTGCATGTTGGAGTCTTGGAAACGCTCACACTGCGCTGGGGAACCACGACCAGGCCATGCACTTTGCTGAGAAACACCTGGACATCTGTAAAGAGGTACATGATGTAAATGATGGCTGTGGAAATCAAAATCTAAGCGGTTTACTTTCAAAGCTGAACATAAGGGAAAATAAATCGTTCAGTCGTACAATTCATCTAATTGTTTTTGTTCTTCCTAGACTGGAGACAGGAGCGGGGAGCTGACAGCTCGTATGAATGTATCTGATCTCCAGACGGTTCTGGGTCTGAGTTATAGCACAAATAACTCCACAATGTCAGAGAATAAGGACATAGACTACAACCTGCATGGTGTGTTGGTCAACTTAGAAGTTATTTAAATTTGAAGCCTTAAGTCGGTTTTTATCTGTATAGTTGTTTTAACATTGTTTGTGTGTTAGGAGCAAGGCCCAGGATGAGCCGAAGACACAGCATGGAGAACCTTGAGCTGATGAAACTCACTCCAGACAAGATAAATGTAAGAACATCTCATCCCCCCCTCCCCTTTCAGTGGACCTTCTGAAACATGTTCACATCATGTTCTATCACAAGCTGGATGCTTTAAACTCTCCAAGATTGACTTTTCTTCTTTTCCTCTTGTCTTTTGTTTCCTCCTGAACTGTGATAACTAATCCATTCATGTGTGTTGAAGGGTCAGAAGTGGAACAGTGACATCCTGACCAAACAATCCAAACCCTCCCTGGCTAAGGCCTCCTCCAAGCTGTTCTTCGTCAACCGTCTGCGTGGGAAGAAGTACAAGACTGGTGGCTCCAATAAAGTCCTCCAGGACACCAGCAACACCCTGGACACGAGCCAGAGTCTCGCACAGGGACCACAGAAGGTACACAATGCAGGGCTGATAACAAAACACAGATATACACATGCCAGATCTGGTTTAGTTTCCTACAGCTGTCATAAGACCAGATCAATTCATATTCCTTGTGTTCCCGTTTTTGTGTTTTTTTTAGCGACTCAGTCCCGACACACTTGGTGACGAGGGATTCTTTGATCTGTTGAGCCGTTTCCAGAGCAACCGCATGGATGACCAACGCTGTTCAATACAGGATAAGGGCAGCAGGTTGTCATTGAATAGTGGTCCAGAGTCGCCTTCCACAGCTATCAGGAAATGTAAGTCCATGCATTTATGCTCAAATGTTCCACAAACAAAATAAGTGAAATAAAATGACATCAGCAGAAACTTAATTCTTTTAAACTCTGTAGCTAAATCTGAGTCTGGGAACGTCTCGGGAATCCCAGGCCGGCGGTTAGAGGAGTCATCGGCAGCAGGAGGAAGCCTGCCCGGCCTCAGACTGCATCAAAACAGCCACCAGGCGGTGCTTAGTCACCTGATGGCCAATGCAGACAACACTGAGCCTGACGACAACTTCTTCGATATGCTTGTCAAATGCCAGGTACGATCCAAAATACGTACATGGCTAGCAAAGTCTAACTGATAATATATCCCGCCAATCTTTTTATATTTAATGCAAACATAACATCGGAATCTGACACTCTCTCTCCTTAACCTCCATCAGGGCTCCCGTTTGGACGACCAGCGCTGTGCCCCTCCTCCTCCTCCAGTCCGAGGGCCCACTGTCCCAGACGAGGACTTCTTCAGCCTTATCATGCGCTCTCAGGCCAAACGGATGGATGAACAGCGTGTGACTCTGCCTTCAGCATCAAATGCTACAGCCAGGCCCGACTCCAACTAAACTCAGCACTAGAGAGACACAGGTTGTTTTTTTATGAACACATTACGGTGTGGAAAACTTTGATGGCCAGTGGATGGTCACTCAGAGTAGTGTGTCTCTTGACCTTTGTCCTTCTGGACAGAACAAAGCACTGTCAGCATTATGTGTAGTCAACAGTATGGAAAAAATCTCAAACCGTACAAGGATTTGTTTTGCAAAGCTTGCACAACACCAACGAACTCTCAGTAATTTCAGGGACAAAACTGTTTTTTTTAGTCTTGTGTCATAAATCTGTTCTAATTCAAATGCATTTCACCTGTCGTGTATTTTTCAATACACAATGCATTTATGATTTTATTTATTGTACTTTTAATGATTGTTTTAAATTTTGTTAACTGCCGTCCCACAACAAAATGTAGTTGTACCACTGTGGTGTCTAAATCAGTGTGGACACACAGGTATAGCACTCTTTCCATGTGTTTGTGAGGGGTTTGTTTTTTTGTCACCATGGCCAGGAAAGGGAAGAGGTATTTTAATAAGCAAATAAGTTTGATAAAAGAATGAATTCAACCCATGTACAGACCAGATGATATTTTGTACAACATTCTTCAATGAGGAATAAAGCCTCATTTGTAAAAGAATCTTGTTTGACTATTTAAAAGTGTTTTTTAACCCAAAACAATCAAGATACAGTTTGTGTAAAAGACACTTTATTGAATGTACCAGCAGTCAGACTAGAGTTAGCTTGAATCAGTTTAAGTCACTTTTTAAAAACAAGAAATAGAAAGGCTAAATACAAGAGCCACTAGCATTTAAAACATACTAATAATAACTGTACATAACATAACTGAAATAAATACATCTATGTACGAATTAGTTTGGCCTTCTTTGTTAAAGCAATATATACTATACATTAACATAAAAGTTAAATATGCATCTTAGTAAGTAAATCAATGTTAAGAGACAAAGTGCGCATGTAAAACACAAGAAAAGAATATGAATGCCCCAAAATACAGTTTCAAAAATAAATATCCAAACACCCATTCTTCCACTCAGGTTCCATTGTGCACATGGCAAGACCCTTGTTATAGGCAAAGACTGCCCCCTACTGGTGTTATATCGTTACAGCAGTAGACAAACCAAAGCTTTATGGACACTGAAAAATGCCAGGGCTCAACCACAAATTACACTTTTTTCCCCCATTTGATATCGACATTATCACAATTTTCCTTTGCAAGCAAGCCATTGCAAGACATGAACAGGTTCACTGCAGCAACACTGATCTCAAATTTGAAACAAATGCACAAGCTAATTTATACATTTTGAGTAGTAACGTAGTTAACAATAGACATCAGTACATTATCCCACAGGGAAGCAACAACTGACCCGTCGACAGATAGAACGACTTCCACAGATTCAGCCTCCTGAGGGGAAAAGTTTGTGACCGACACACTGAAAATGTATATTTTACACCATAAAGTCAACTCTTCATTTTACCAAACAATAGCAGCATAACATCAGATGTAAGAAAAAACTATATGCAAAAGGAGGAATGTAGGACTTCTCAAAATGAGCTCACGAAGTTTGATCTTGAAAAAATGACCATGTTATCCTTTTTCTAAATGTTTTTTTCTTTTACATTTTTTGTAATGGAAACTCAAGGAAGGCACCATCATGAACAAAGCAGTCTGTTTTGTCTAACCTCGACCACTCTTCATTTAAAAAGTACATGCAGCAACTGAATGGAGTGTAAACGGAGTCAGGGATGATGAAGTGACAGTGAGAATAATTAATACGATGAATGCTTGATGTGAGGAATGTTTAAAAAAAAAAAAAGGAAAACATGCAACATGTGCTTTTGATGTGTCAAAAGTTTGTTTCCATTTGGTTTCCTACAGACTGTAAGGGTAGGCTCATTCTCCTGTTTGTGTGTTCATGTATGTGTGTTTTTTAGGCTGCAAGTGTCAATGGTGTGACAGTGTAGGAGGAGCAGTGTTGTTTTAGTTAGATCATAGAGACTGGTGTGTGTGTGTGTGTGTGTGTGTTTGTGTTACGGGTTGTGTGTCCAGAGTGTGACAGTGCGGTCAGCTGAGGATGAGAGGAAGGACAGGTCCTGCGTGTGCCATCGACACTGAATCACCTTGTCGCCGTGCTCTCCCACCACAGTCACAGGCAGCTGTTTGGTCAGGTCACCTGAAAATAGAAGAAATATGAAGACACACACGCAGGTTAAGAAGAAGACAAACTATCTTAATCCCAGAGGGGAAATACAGTTGCTCTCTTATTGAACACACTTCACACACGACCCGAGCAGTTGGGGCTCTGGTGCCTTTCTCAAAGGCACCTTGGCAGTGAACGGGCAACTAATCCAAATCCTCTGGTCCATGCCAGGACTTGAACTAACCATCCCCCAGTTTTCAACCCAAGACTGAGCTCCTGCTGTCCCACAATGCAAGTTTAACAACATGACACATAAAATCAATCCTGGTCTCACAGAGGATTAAAAAGTGTTTTAGTTGTTGGTTAAGACATCAGGGATCATGACATCATAATTAATATAGAAGTATTGACACCCAGTTCAAGTAGATAAGTGACTTAAAATAACCAAACTTTCCATCATCATCATCTATTTCTCATTGATAGAGGCATTTCAATACAGGAAAACAACATCCTGTTTCCTGTTTATTCTAGGAATATAAATACTGGAAATAATCTTATTCTGGAATGCAAAATGCATATTTTGTTAATTAACTAATCATTATGTACTTTCTGTTAATAATAAATAAATAAATGTAAAAAAAAAATACAGTTAATATGTAGCTACTGCCAGCAGTTTAGATGAGCATTAATACTGAAAATGAGTAAACAGCCAGCCTCGCTGAGCACATGTAAACTAAATAAGCAGGATAAGAATAAGCAATGCTGTTTCTTTAATCGGTACCAAAAAAAAGATACATTCCTGTTTAATTGTTGCTTATGTCTAAAAATAAATCTTGGGAATAATGAAGTCCTGCAGTCTAATCTGCATCATGAGACTTCAGGAAGTGACTGCCCAAGCCAAGAAATAGTTCAGCTCCCCCCCCCTTATACCAGAACCAGTTACTTTCTACTTGGAGTCTAATTAAAGTTGTTTTAATGAAGAAGTCAAAATGCCCACAGCACAAAGTTGACATCTTAACATTTCTTATTTTGTCTGACCAACAGTTAAATACGAGTAACACCTTTTTACAACGATGTGAAAAGAGAATCATTCATACAATAACTTTATCCATTCAGGTTTGATTCACAGCCAGAAAGATGAAACCTGCATTTATTGGATTGAATGGAAAACAAGTATCCCAACTACTCCCAGGTTAAAGGTTAAAGGTAAGAAATATACTTCTATGTATAACCAGTGACAGCCAGTTAGCTCTGCCTTTATCTGCTGAACAAACGTGTCAGGTGAGACTTACCTTGGAGGTTGGTGACCATGACCTTTGTGTCGTAGGAGCCGGTGAGCAGGTAGTGTGCACCGGGGGAGAACCTGACAGAGCGCACATCGCTGCTGTGTGGCCGGTACACCTGGACAGTTCGTCCTCCTCTGATGTCATACAGCATGCATGCACTGTCTTCCTGTCCTGTTGCTAGGAGACGGCCACTTGGATCGACTGCTACTGTGGCAACAGGACTGCCTGTTGAAAAAAAAAACGTTCTCAGTACTGTCCAAGAGTAATAAAACTAAATCTGAAAATAAATAAAAAACTTCACTTCTGGTGTAATAAGTGTTTTATTCAGAGTTCTAATAAGAAGACAGAAGTGTAATGACAGAAAATGAGCCCTACCTGAGCCATGGAAAGCAGTCCCCACTACTCTAACACAGCTGGGCACCCTGAGGTCCCAGAAACGCACAGTCTTGTCTTGAGAGCCTGAGGCGATCATCCAGCCTCCCCATGTGTACAGAGACAGAATGTGACCTGAACAACAACAACAACAACAAAATGACACGTTTCACACCTGTCAGAGGAAACCTTTGCTTTATCACTCTTTGACATGAGTTCAGAGGGAGGACAGGTGGATGAATGTACCTGTGTGTCCGCTGAGGGCGTGCAGACCCTGTCCTCTCTGACAGTCGGTGGTGTAGATGTTACAGTCTCCAGCTCCAGCGCTGATCAAGATGGCTCCTCCGCTCTCTGGACCCTCCATGAAGGCCAGGTCTCTGATGGTGCCGTCATGCATGCTGAACTCCAGGTCTGGACCTGAGGGACACAAAGACACGGACAAAACTCTTGTAAGATCTTCGTATGCTTGGACACTTGCAATTAAGACTGTCTTCAGGCTCTAATGCGGGTCGTCTCACCTGTAGCGTTGCTCGTCTCAGCACTAAAAGGAACCACTTTGACATATTTGTCGTTGGAGCCTGTTGCCAGCAGCTGTCCACAGTGACTCCAAGCCACACAGTAGATTGATCCTTTGTGGTGTTTGTTCCTCTTGAAGCGGACAACCGGCTGTTTTATTGGACCTGTACTGCTGTGAAGAAAAGAAAAAAGAGAGAAGCTGAGTTGTCAGACAGTTTTTCAAGTAAAGTAATCAACTTCATGCTAGAAAAAACATAAAGACAGATTTAATACTTAATCTGAAAGTGATGCAAACATTTTCAGTCCTACTCAACGTAGCCTGAATTGTTCTGTCTATTTTATTGTTGACTGTTTCATACTGTCTCTTGTGCATTGACGTTTGTTGTTGAGAGATCCCTAAAATCAGGAGCCTTTCATTTAAAGATTTTTCTTTTTTTGATTGTCCATGTTACCTTGGGTCTATAGTTTCTGGATAAGCGCAGACGCGTAGAGTTTTGGAGTTGGATCCCACAGCGTAGAGCGCTCCAGACGGGTGAAAGGCGACAGCTCGAACAGCCTGAGTGTCTTCCAGGGTATGCACAGGTACAAACAGGTCTTTTGTCTTCTCACCCTGGTGACACACACACACACACAAATATATATATATATATAAGACAACTCATTGCCACACAGATGTGTTATGATTATTAGTAGAATGTATTTTTATATTCTCTAACCTAAGACATCCCAACAAACATACCATCCAAGCTTAAACTGTAATAATCAGATTAGTTTAACTAGCATGCGGAGGTAGGAATGAGTTAGAACAGGTCTAATAATCGTTTTCATTCAAATCTAGTGAGTGGTTACATTTTTGCTTGGGGAACATCTTGTGTCTATTGTTTACCTCTTTACTTCTGGTTAAAGAGCTCGGAGAGTCTTCTTGTTGACCTTTGTTTTTCTGCTCACTGCAAAAAAAAAACCAGAGAAACCGTCAAATACAACTGAGCATGAATGAACTGTGATATAACAACTTAAGAATTCTTACCTCTGTGAGATGACCGGGGACTCATCAGGGGGCTGGACTGCACGCCCCCCCACTGTGTGTTGTGGGGTGCTGCTGAGCACCCCTCCCCCTCGGGTACTGTTGTGCTCGGGAGTCCCAGATGGAGGGTTGTTATTGTCCTCAGAGGTGGGTGGGTTCCCGTTGCCATTACACTGCTGGGCCAGAGATTTCACCTCTTCCCCCATGTTCTCCATCCCAACGTTGAGCTCCTCCAGCTTCTGGATAGACCTGACGAGACACACAGAGACATTTATTGTAACATTAAAGCATTCTTTTATCCACTCCTTTTTTTTAAGAGGATTTTCTTTTACTTTAATCAATTTCAAACTAATTCTACTTTTGCATACAGACTGTCAAAATACAAACTGTGGTTGCATGCTAGTTAAATGTATTACAAAAAAATCTATAACTTCAAAGGGCAGAGGACAAAGAAAGCTGAAGTAGTGATGTCATTATGCACAGCTTCCCTTGTGAATAATGCAGAGTATAC